CGTCTCTCGAACGTGGGATGTTTTAGAAAAGATCTGTTGGTTAAAAGATCATAGTCCTTCGATGCTGCCTTGGTAAATGATCTTAGTACCTTAGTATAATTGCTAAAGTGACCCACGAGTTGTTTTCGTGACTGTACGATGACTCGCGCCTATCCCTCAAAACATCCAATGATAGGGCCACTTACTAACTAATGGTAGGATAGTACTATATAAAGGAAAAGAGGAAAAAAAAACAAAGACCTTTTGAGTAGGTAGATAGCTTATAGTTTCTTGCTCACAAAACAAATAATTTATCACACATACACTCTCTTTTCTAAATATTTTCAAAGACAAAACACTTTGTATTCATTCTAAACGATACGAGAATCATTACAAAGTTTTTCGCACTAAGGCATCTTTTCAAAATATTTTCAAAATACACTTACACAAAAAGAATTTCTAAAGTGAGCTAGCAACTAAGAGCCCGTAGATAACTACGGATAAAAAGATTGTTAACACCTTCCCTTTTCATAACCTACCCCCCTTACTCAGAAAAATCTCAAAGGTCTTTCCTATTCTTTTTACCCTTTCCTTTATTGGATAAAAGAAAAGTCGGTGGCGACTCTTACTAACCGCAACATTTGCGATAAAACACAAAACCTAAAAGTTAGTCCACTGTATTACAAAATGCAATGCTCTTCTTCTTTCTAGACTTTTCACTGATCCCTAATTCAAAGGTCTGCAGAGACCCCATAAGCTCATCAACCTTCAAGTTGTTTATATCTTGTGTTTCTTCAATGGCAGTCACCTTTATGCCAAACCTCTTTGGAAAAGATCTGAGAATCTTTCTCACCAACTTGGCTTCTGACATCTTCTCCCCCAAGGCACTTGAGGCATTGGCTATCTCAATAATGTTCACGTGAAAGTCATGAATACTCTCATCCTCCTTCATTCTTAAGTTCTCAAACTGGGCGGTAAGAAGTTGAAGTCTTGACATCTTCACCTTAGAGGTTCCTTCATGAGCAGTCTTCAAGATCTCCCACCTTCCCATCCTGACCTACAACCTTTGGTGGATCCCATCCCTTGACCATATATTTCCAAGCCTTGTTATCCATGGACTTGATGAAAGCTACCATACAAGCTTTCCAATAATCATAATTGGTTCCATCAAGAATGGGTGGTTTATTCACGAACCCTCATTCCTTGTCCATTGTATCAGAAAGTATCTTCCGTGAATCTCACCCAGAGTCAGAGCAGGATGTCTGAGTCTGATACTAATTAAAATTCTAGTATTCAGACCTCAGATGTCCTAAGAGATGTCGAGACACTAATCTCTGAAGATAAACACAATGACAAGGTATAACAATAAAGTAGTGCAGAAAATTAAAGAAACACACAGAATTGTTAACCTAGTTCGGTGTACAACAACACCTACTCTGGAAACTACCAAGCCAGGGACGAAATCAACTAAGTAGTATCAATTTGTAGACCCACGACAAACTCTCCCTATTTTACAATCTACTCACTTAATCACTTCCCGTGCTTAACTTAAGACTCCCCTAGGTATAAGACCCTTCTCAAATCCCTTTCAATCACAGCAGTGATTGAACAACTCTAAACACTTAGAAAATAGCAGAAGTCACACTTCAAAAACACACAATCATTCAATGCTTAAAAGCTTAAGAATGACTGATAGAATTTACAACTCAATAGAGACAATCTAACTCAAGTATCAAAACAATACAAGAGTGGATCACAATTCACAAGAACACAAGCCCTAAAAATCAATAAAAAATACAATACATTCCACACTTGTATTAGGATTGTACCCTTATATTTAAAGCAATCTTCTAGAATGGATTAGGCTTCAAAAATGCAGCAAATCAGCTGCTAAAAATATGCAGTAACTTCTGCATAAAAATAGGACTTCAATCATTAGTTTCCTAAATTATCTCCATAATTAGAAACTAAGAATACTCCTTGATTTAAGCTTGAATCTCTTAATCCTTAAACTGAGCGCCACATAGGATATCATAATATTCCCAGAATATTATGCCTCTGTAATAAACTAAAATCATCCAACTGTCCAACTATACAAAGGCACAATGTCGAATGATTATGCATAGGACATATTGTTCAACATGTTTCTCCAGTTGATATAACATCTTATTTCAACATTTTTCTGCTATGTTAGTTTTACCAAACATAATGCCAATCACAAAAATAGAGAATTAACATAGAATACAAACTAGAGGTGTTGTACTATGTGTCAAGGTCACCAGGTTATGTGATGTCATGAAAAGCTAAGGTTCCATGCATTGATCAGATTCTGATCCTTTAGAATCTGAGTCATCTGCTTCTCTTCATAAGCTATTTAACCGGGTCAAAACCAAGTTAATTTGGAGTTTAATGATCCTGCACACTTAAGCAAATATTAGTATACCCAACTATTCTTTAATTACTTTGTTATCATCAAAATCCAATGAGCATGAATATATTTTGTTCCAACACTTTTATTAAGTGTTATGATTGAGAGGATCTTTTATAAGTGAGAGGATCCTTACACATATAACCTTAAGGTTATGGGTGAATATATGGTGTTTCTCTCACTTGTGTGTTGCTATTAACCCAATATGGATGTTTCTCATAATGACCCAACCGTGGTATCAGAGTCGATGGTTCAATTAAGGAACTTACTTCTTGTATCGAATGTCTTCCTGGCAATGTCGTGGTCAGGCGGCGTGTTCCATTTTAGTGTCTGCAATAACGATACAAGTATATGTTGATGAAAGAGCTTCCGCTTGAGGGAGAGTATGGTAGATGGACTCACACTTGAGGGGATATTATTATACACAAGTGTGAGTTGTTAGTCCCACATTGCTTGGAAAAGTGGAGGTTAAGCACTTTATAAGCGAGAGAACCCATACATCTATTACCTTAAGATTTTAGATAAATATGTGGTGTCTCTTTCACTAGTGTGTTTCTCTTGACCCAATATAGACGCTCCTCATGATGATCCAACAATGGTGTCAGATCTGGTGGCTCAATTAAGGGATTGACTCCTTGTATAGAAAGTCTTCCAGACATGGTAGTGGTCGGTCAGTGGGTCTCGTAGTAGTGTCTGCAACGATAGTACACATGTATATGGATGAAAGAACTTTCAGTTGAGGGGGAGCATAGTGAATAAAATCACACTTGAGGGAGAGATTCTTGTACACAAGTATAAGTTGTTAGTCTCACATTGTTTGGAAAAGTAGAGGTTGAGCAATTTATAAATAAGATGACTCATACACATATCACCTTAAAATTTTGAGTGAATATGTGGTGTCTCTTTGACTTGTGTGTTGCTCTTGAACAAATATGGATGCTCCTCATGATGACTCATTCTATTCTACAATTGAAATTTACAACCATGGTGAAATGTTACATGGTTTACTATTTTTACCACGACGGCTAACCCGTGGTGAAAAATAGAACACTTACTTTTTTTTTATAAGCGAGTTATAAGACACTTACTATCACATCTTTCATTACCACATACCCCAACCGTGATAAAATCCTTCTATCAACCGTAATAAAAAATAATTTTTGTAATAATGTTAGTTTGATAAAAATGATGTTTCAGCTAAGACCGTCCCAAACAATTTGAAAGCCATGTTCTACTTTAAAGTTAGGTCTCTAATAGATGAAAACATAACAAATCTAAAAAATCATATTTATTTTAAATTGTAAATAAAAATAAATATATAGAGAAAAAATATAGAAATATTGTGTTGAAATTTAACTCATCGAAATTTAGTTTTTCATATTTATCTCCTCTTACAATCATCCAAGTTTAGTTTTTGACATTTCTCTACTCTTAGAATTCTCGATTTATAGAAAAACTAATATTATTTAATAAATAAATAATTCTTTAAACAATTTCGACAATATTAATAACAAGTTTTTTTAATTAATAAACAGTTAATAACATGAAATTACAAATTTTCAAGATCTCACAACTACTATGTCAAATTAATCATCTATAAAACCTTTAAAATTTTAAGACATTGTATTATGAATTATTGAATGTTTAGTTCTCACTTTTTAATGGATTCATCTGTTAATCACTTTAGAAAATTGATGCCATATTGAAATGACATCTTGGAAGGAAAACAAGAGCTAACAACCAAATGCACATACGTCATACATGAATAAATTAACATATATGAATAATTCATCACCAAACTCAAATTCAAAAAGGTGTTTGTTTGATGGATAAAAATATAATGTAAAGTTGAAATCTTATATTTTTATTTTTGTTTGAAGTTTTAAAAAATTATTTTTAAATATATTTTATTATTTGGAATAAAATTTATTTATGAAAATTTAAAAATTTATTATCATATTAATAGATGAAAATCTTATATTTTCATAGAAATAAAAAATAACCACCTATTCTCGTGTGTTATTTTAATATTTTTGTATTTATTTTTAAAATTTTAAAATTATAAATAATTTTAAAATATTTCTTAGAACTTAAATAATTTGTCAAACAATTTGATGAGAAATGTTTTCAACTATACTTACCATTCGGATTTGATTGTTATAAAATAAATCAATTATGTAATTAATTAACTTGTCCTTCATAATGCTGTATGCTTATTCGCTAATTAAGATTTAGAATCATAATTAGCAGTACTTGGTTTTTTGTGCTATTATTTTATCATTTTATTCATCGACTAATCAACTTTTTTTGTGCTCGGTTTCTTTTCTTCAAAATTGAAGAGTTTCAAAACAATTATTATTTTTTCACTTATAAATTATTATTAAATATATACACAATGCAAATTGCTTCCACTAGTGTTATTTTTTTATGCGACAACTTGATGTGTTTGGTAGCTCTGGTTTTGTCAAAGCCACCAAAACCTGTTATTGTTTCTGGTCTTTGTTTTTTCATGAAACAACTAGGTAGTTTCTTCTAACAAGTTTGTAACATTATTATAGAATCTCACAAAGCTCTTGTTATTCTTGGTCCAACTATGGCAAATTCATTTGGTTTCTTTCTGTTTCTGGTTTTGTTTTTTGCTGTTACAGTTTTACTTCACGCACAACAACAAACAGGTTAGCTGCATAATTCATCAACTTCTATAACAAATCTTATGATGATGCAGTAATATCAACACTTCGAATTGAATGTGTGTCTAACAACGTACATACACGTTGTTACATTCAATCATTTCCAATTTTTCAAATTATTGTTAGCGTCCGTATCATGTTTGTGTTTATGTCCGTGTCGGTGCTTTATATGCGATTTACATGTGGTTAGTGGTTACATTTGATAGTTTTAATTTCTGATGTGTCTAACGACTCTTATGATGTAGTATAAAGACTTCAAATTGAATGTGTGTCTGGTAGCCGACATGTGTCTGGTGTGTCTAACAACATGTTTGTATTCGACGCTAGCACGATACAGACACATTATTACATATTATTTTTATTTTTCAAATTATTACTGGTGTTTACTTTGTTAATGTTTGTGTCATTTTGTGTTTATGTCTGTGTCAATGTTTTATATGCGATTTACATGTGGTAGTGGTTACATTTGATGATTTTCATTTATGATGTGTCCAACAAGCAACAACTCTTATGATGTAGTATCGACACTTCAAATTGAATGTGTGTTTCGTAGTCGACACTTCATTTTTCAAATTATTGCTGGTCTCGACTTGTTAGTGTCTGTATCATGTTTGTGTTCATGACGTTGTGACAATGCTTTATATGAAATAATTTTCTTTCTGAATCTACTTTATGTTTCTGTTTTAGGTTTCATAAGCATTGATTGTGGAAGTTCAGAGGATTTATACACAGATGATGTAACAAAAATAAAATACAGTTCAGATGGATCATACATACAAACAGGAGTTAACAGAATTATTTCTTCTGACTATGCATATCCAGCCAATCCAAATCTACCATTACCACTCTCAGATCTCAGAAGTTTTCCTCAAGGAAAACGAAACTGTTACCAATTAACCACCGGAAGAAAAGGAAGTTTATATTTAATAAGAGCTTCTTTCTTGTATGGAAACTACGACGGCGTAAACAAATTACCAGAATTTGATCTCTTTGTTGGTGTAAATTTCTGGTCATCAGTGAAATTTAAGAATGCATCAGACGAACTTACATTGGAAATAATCAGCATGGCACAATCTGAAGAAATAAACGTTTGTCTTGTGAATAAAGGAAAGGGAATTCCGTTTATCTCAGGGTTGGAACTTAGACCGATTAGTAATTCTATTTACAACACTGAGTTTGGAGATTCTGCTTCACTTTTGCTTTTCAAAAGATGGGATGTTGGTTCATTCAATGGAAGTGGTAGATATGAAGATGATGTTTATGATAGAATTTGGTTTCCTTTTAGTTCCTCTTCATGGAAATCTCTCAACAGTTCTGTAGTAGTTGATGATAATGGAGATGGATATAAAGTACCATCTGAAGTTATAAGAACCTGTTCTACACCAAAGAATGAGAATGATTCCTTGGAATTTTCTTGGACTTCAAATGATCCAAATACGAAATTTTATGTCTACTTGTATTTTGCTGAAGTGGAGAGACTTCAGAGAACTCAACTGAGAAAATTCAGTGTTTCTTGGAATGGTTCTCCTTTGAGTACATCACTAGTACCAAAATACTGGCAAGCAACCACTCTTTTTAATTCAAAGTCGTTGGTCGCAGACGAACATAGAATTTCTATACAGAGAACCGAAGATTCGACGCTTCCACCTATTCTTAATGCAGTGGAGATTTATGTAGTTAGACAATTGGATGCACTTCCAACATTTGAAGAAGATGGTATGACATGTTTTCTTCACTAAAATTTCATATGCAAATCTAAGCTCGACACTTTAGATTGATGGCGTGTCTGGTGCGTGATACATAGACCATAGGCACATGTGGTAATCTTCGGTCAATTCCATTTTAAAAATTATTATCGGTGTTTGCGGATAATGCGTATCTTGTGTCTGTGTCTGTGCCTTTGGAGCAATCTTACCAAACATTGTATTACTTGCAAATGATTATGATCATGTTATACCTTTAAGTGAATTTGGTCATATTTAATCACAGTTGAAGCTATAAAGAGTGTAAGAGAAAGTTATAGAGTTGAAAGAGATTGGTTTGGTGATCCATGTGAGCCAAACAACTACACTTGGGAAGGCTTAAAATGCAACTACAGCACTTCACTTCCTCCAAGAATTGTATCACTGTGAGTGATCTGCATATCCTTTTCATTATTTTCATCCCTCCTTCATATTATGATATTCAATTTATACGAAAATATTTTCTTTTATAGGAATCTGAGCCAAAGCAGTCTGACTGGAATCATAACTCCAGCCATCTCCAATTTGACTTTCTTGGAATCTTTGTGAGCACACAACACTTCTAGAAAATTTTGAGTACATACGGAATATTTATTCATTCTTAGTAAGATTGTTTTCTTCATCTTGTATCGGTATCATATAAACTACATTATTTCAGGGACTTATATAACAATAGCTTAACCGGATCAATACCTCAGGTTTTGGAAGAATTGAAATCCCTTAAATATTTGTAAGTCTTTTTTTATGATTGTCGCAAATTATATGACAATTTTATATTAATTGGTGCTAAATTGTTAACGGCTGATGCAAGAAAACTCGAATTATTTGTAGGGATTTAAGGGGAAACCAACTTTCAGGTTTTGTTTCTACCACTCTCCTAGAAAGATCAAAGAAGGGATTACTTACTTTGAGGTATACATTTCTGTAATAGACGTTCGCTGTATGTGTCGGATATGACTCATAATTTATCAATATGTGTCGGATATGTTCCGGTTGTTGTTCTAGCAATATGCTTAGTGCAAGTGAAGTTACTTTTATTTGTCTAGAATTAGAATCCAAAAAGTGCAAGTATGAAAATCTTTGTGTAATTATGACCAGAAAATCTTGTTTTTAACATTTTTATAGGGTGGATGATAAAAATCTCTCTGGTTCAAGTAAGAAAAAGAAGGTAATTGCTCCCATTGTTGCACCAATAACATCAGTTATAGTTCTGTTAGTCATTGCCATTCTCTATTGGAAGCTTCGAAGAAGAAATAAGCAATCAGGTAAGTCCTGCTTTACAAATTTGTAACTCCTTCCATATGATATTCAATACTCAAGATTTTACATAAAGTTTGGATATTCTCGGATAAAATTGATTCTAACTTGAAGCTATAATTTGAAGGTTTTGAATCTACAATTGATTTTTAATCTTAAATTTATTGTTGAAATCACTTTTACACGAACGTATCCACACATAAACCAATTAACATTAAATTTACTTATAGTCAGAATCAATTTTTGCAGAATCAGTTGTTTTTCAATTTTATTTTACAAAATGAATTCTTTAAAAATTAATTTGTCAGCGCGGAATCATATAGACATGCTTTAACTCATTGTATTTGTTTTTTAATTTAGAGGATGAGATGAGTATGATCAACAAAAGTACAGGAACTGTAGTATCAAAGAAGTTACAATACAATTATTCTGAGGTGTTGTCCATCACCCGCAACTTTGAATTGGTCATTGGGAGGGGAGGATTTGGAAGTGTTTATAGTGGTCAGATGAAAGATGGCAATAAAGTTGCAGTCAAGATGCTTTCTGCATCTTCAGCTCAGGGACCAAAGGAATTTCAAACTGAGGTAATTAACTAGTACAATACATGGTTATGGTTATCAGTATCTTACATGGTTATGGTTATCAGTATCTTACAATACATGTAAGTTGTATCTCGATTCAATAAAAGTTTAAACCAAATCAATACAAATCTCTAGTATCTATCTATTTGGAAATGAATCTCACTTTGAATCTCGATTCACTATGATAAGTCCCGATTCATTCTAATGAATTGCTACTAAATTTAGTGTTGCTAACTACTTCTTTGATCAACTTGTATAACCAACTATAGAGAATAATAATGGCTTGCAGGCTGAACTTTTGATGACTGTTCATCACAAAAATTTGGTATCCTTCATTGGCTATTGCGATGAAGGTGACAAAATGGCACTCATATATGAGTACTTGGCTAATGGCAACCTTAAAGAAAATCTCTCAGGTATATAGAACCTTCATTGTTCCGTATCGTGCTTAATAGTTGATGAATGATAGCATGTTTCAATGTGATTTATTTATCTTGATTGCAGAAAAAAGTTTACATTGCTTGAGTTGGGAAAGGCGAATTCAAATAGCAATTGATGCTGCAGAGGGTTAGTATACCTTCACTTTTTGGGCAACTATATTCTTTTATAACGTTTAGTGATATTTTGATGAATGATGTGTTTTGGATTGAAGGATTGGATTATCTACACCATGGATGCAAGCCACCTATAATACACCGAGATGTAAAATCGGCTAACATTCTTCTAAGTGAAGATTTAGAAGCTAAGATAGCAGATTTTGGACTCTCTAAGGTGTTTAAGAATAGTGATAATGGAAATTCAGAATCTGCAATTATTCATGTTGATGATAAAAATGAAAAATCTACAATCATGGGAACAATGGGGTACCTTGATCCAGAGTAAGTCCTCATCTAGTTGATTCTTTTACTTTCTTGCCAATCAACATCTATGAAGCACTTACACGGAGACTGGACATGACATGTCGATACCCATAATAATTTAGAAAAATGAGGCAATGTTTGTTTCCACGGTGAAAGCTGCTTTAAACACACGTAAAAGGAAAGCTACAATTTGTAGCTTCTCTAAATCACATCAAAATATGCTTTAAGATTTGATTTAATCCTTACAAAAGTTAAACCAAACACATACTGAATAAATGAATGTAATCACATGTGTTGATGTCGTGTCGGTGCTGGACACTGACACGTGTCAGATACTATACATGTTTTTGTTCAATGTTGTGATATTTAGAGGATGCATTTGAGTTAAGCGCTTATTTCATAAACTATTTTAAAGCCCTTAATTAAGCCCTCATTCATAAGTTTTAATAAACTCTTTGTAAAGTTAGTTCTGGTTCGGTTCGAAAACGCCTAAACAAATACACTCATGATTTATACCAATTTACTTTGGTTTAGAAATAACCATTAACCGTTTGATTCTATTTTACCAAACTTTGTGTCGGTTCAATTCAATTTTCTTTCTGAACCGGACCATAATTAGTTTTACTTGTCGTAAGTTATTTTTATTAGTGCATATGTCATGAGTGAAGTCCTAACAAATTGCATTTTTCTAGTACATGTAACCATATAAAAAAGAGTTACATGATCTTATCCTAGAATAGTTAAGTGAAATTAACTACATTATGATTTATACAGGTACTACAAACTAGGGAACTTGAATGAAAAAAGTGACATCTATAGCTATGGAATTGTACTATTAGAATTGATCACAGGTCTCCCTGCTGTGATTAAAGGAAAGCCATCAATTCACATACTTGAGTTTGTAAGACCTCATCTTGAAAAAAGTGATTTAAGCAAAATTATAGATCCAAGACTCCAAGGAAAATTTGATGAAGATTCATGCCAGAAAGTTTTAGGATTAGCAATTTCTTGCACTGCATCAACCTCAATTCAAAGACCAACAATGAATGTCGTGTTATCTGAGCTTAAACAGCGTGTTAAAATAGAGTTTCCTAGTGATAGGGAAATATTTGAGGCTTCAAGACATATGTATAGTGAATATTATAGTTCATCTGATGCTTTTAATTCCATGGAGGGTGAATCTATGACACATCCTTTCCCAAGGTAAATAGTGTATATTGAGGGCACTATGAAGCATTCATTTCAATTTGTAAATTTTATTTAAACCATAAGATAAAAGACACTATAGTCTATAGGTTCCTACATATAGCATTGTTTTGCCTTATTTTGAGTTGTATAATTGTCTTATTGATCTTGTATAATTTTGCTTTATAAGTATCAAAGTGAAGAAATCAAAAGTTGGTGAGAAAAATAGATAGAATCTTTATGGAGGTACTTGTATAAATTGAAGAAAGGTTCAAATTCTTTTATCATGTGTTTGATAAAGTTTGCTGTCGTTGTCAATAACAGATGTATGATATAATGTAGGAAAATTGTTCAATTACTTAGTCAATAATGGATCTTGACTGCTAGATTTAGATCAGGCACACAGTTTGTATTCTAACTTTGGGCGTGAGAGGTTTTATCAAAATTAAATTTTATCCTAACACATTCTTACAAAACTAACTTGTAAGATGAGAGGGTGTCACTCGATATAAAATCTTTTCGAATTCTATCTCTAATCAACGTGAGACTTCGTATTTTTCCAATACACCACTCACAACTTAACACTATTAGACTTGGTGTGTTGATATAAACAATGGTTGATTCATGATTTGATCGATAGACTCTTGATACCGTATTAAAGTATGTGGGTTAGATATAACTCAATCTTACAAAAATTAGTTTGTAAGTTGAGAGGTGTCGCTCTATATAAAATATTTTCAAACTCTATCTCTAACTAATGTAAGACTTGCGATTTTCCTAAGTTTTCTAATACACCCTCTCATGCCAAGTTCTATTGAGCTTGTGGCGTGTATATAAACGGTGGTTTACCTTACCTATAGTTCGATCAGTAGACTCTGATACTATATTAGAATTAGAGTTTATTCATATTCATTTCTACAAAATCAGCTAATAAAGATGAAATGTATTCCTTTATATATAATTTTTCCAAATTCTATCTTTGAATAACAATGTAGGACTTAATTTTCTCAATAAATAATGTATAACTCTAAAACCCACTTGACACAACCATAAAAAAAATTGCCAACGTAAATGCCCTAAGTTGGTCATTATGTTAGACCTCTCATTAAAAAAACTAATGACTTAATCATCAATATTTTTAAGTGGAATTTATTATATGATTAGGAATTGGTCGGAGGGAATTTTTTTACTTAATCAGCATAATAGTAAAAAAAAAATTAATATTTAAGCCATTCCAACTAGATTAACACTTTAAATAAATCACCTAAGAATCAATTTAATACTATCTCTATTTATTATCTCCAATTTTTATTATAAATCGTTTCGGACTTTTCACACATATTAAAAAAATAATTATTATATAAAAATGAGAAATTATGAAAGTTTTTATAAAATTATTTTTTATTAATGACATATAGAAAATAAATTTATATAATTGAAAGGACTGATAATAATAAATATTCAAAAATATAATAGAAAAAATATCATTAATTATTTATTGAAATTGTAAAACAACTTATAGTTCTTCCTCCATTCTTATTATAAACAAAATTTTTTTTTTTTAAATTTATTAAATAATTAATGTATCTGACATATATAAAATCTAAATACATCACTAATTTAATAAACTTAAAAAATCAAAATTTACTTATAAGAGAAATACGAAACAACCTTGAGTGGACTGGACCAAAACTCAAGTTTTCCTTTTATATCAGATGTGACTTAATAAAATTCTCACACACTAATAGAAAAAGAGAGAGAAGATAATTTTATGAACTCACTAATCTATTTAAACTTTAAAACCTGATAGTTCACAAAGTATTGCTTTCGTGCATTTATATAGGTCTTGGAGTATTCATTCTTAGTGGCTAAAGAGACTTAGCAAAGAAGCATGCTTAGGTGGTGATATTGTCCACTAGGTTTCTTAACAGGTAAGGTAAGCTTAATTCTACTTAGACACATGTAGCTTCTATATTTTTCTATAATTGTTCTATTTTCTCAATATTTTTAGATATCTTTTGATTTAATTTCAACATTGTCTCCCATAAATCAAATTTGCATAATTCCAAACTTTTTTTTTTAACTTGTAAAATGACTCAATCTTCAGAGATTTTTTAAATATATCTGCAATTTATTCTTTAATAGGACAGAATTCGATCACCACTTCTTTCTTCGATATCAACTCTCTTATCTTATAAAATCAAATATCAATATGTTTGGACCGTCTATGAAAAATTGGATTCTTACTCAGTGCAATAGCCGACTTGTTGTCACAATATATATTTATAGGACTCTTATGCTTTTGATGTAACTTTTAAAATTCTTCTCATCCATATTGTTTGAGAGGCACAACTGGTTGCTGCAATATATTCTGGATTTTATTTGTATCCTTTTGCCACCAACCTTGCTTTATAGTGATCAATCTCACCACCGAGTTTGTACTTTGTCTTGTACACCCATTTTACTCCAATAACTTTCTTGTCTACCGGTAACTCTGTTAGCTCTCATGTTTTATTCTTCTCAATTGCATTGATTTTTTCATTCATGGCCTTTCTCCAATTTTCATCATCTACTGCTTCTTCAAAATTAAATGACTCACAATCTGCAAATAAAGAAAAGTTGATAATCTCCTCATCAAATGGGTCATTAGCGTTACCCAAAACACAATCTTTTAGTCTGACTGGTAATCTACGTGGCCTTTGTTGTCTGTTGGATATTTCTGGCTCATCAGGTGTTGTTTGTTGTCTGCTGGATGTTTCTGGCTCATCAGGTGTTAATATTCATTCTCCTCTTCGTAACCATTTAAAGTCACCATTGGATCCTTTTGTGACTTTGAGGACCAATCCCACATTCCTCCTTCATCAAAAGTCATATCTCGACTAATAATCACCTTTTGTGTCTCTGGATTGTAGAGTTTATAAGTATTTGAGTTTGAACTGTACCAGACCAAATATCATGTGTCACAACCAATCATCATTTGGAATGATATAACTCAAGCAAGGAAATTTTTCATGTTGAGCTTTCAAAGGAAAAAGGCGATTGGGTGTCATTCTTACCTTTGCGATAAATATGTCATTTCTATCAATCAACATGCAAAAACAATTGTGAATCTGGATGTTGTAACCTTTCTTCGACAATTGTCCCATACTCAATAGATTGTGATGAAAACCATGAGCATAGAAAACATCACCAATAAAGTTTTGAGATCCATCTTTCAACCTGATAGAAATTCGGCCTTTCCCTAAAATTGGAATATTTGAATTATTTCCAAACTTTACGGTAGATTTTATCGTTTCGTTTAGAGAAGAAAATAATTCCTTTTTCCCACACATATGGTTAGGGGTGTTCGCGGTGCGGTTTGGGCAGTTTTGAAGCAAAAAATCATCCGAACCGCAAGAGAAAAAAACATGCGGTTCAGTTTGGTTCGGTTGGCTTTTAAAAATAAATCCGAACCAAACCAAACCAAACTAATGCGGTTTGGATTGGTTCGGTTGTTTCGGTTTTTTACAAAAATAATTATTATGTCATACATACAAATATATAGGAAAATATAATTTTATATTTAATTGTTCATACATTACCATAAAAAATTTATAATTGTCAAAATAAATTTATAATTTGATACATAAAATTGCGTATTATAATTTTATCTAAATCTAAATAATAATATCAACAAGATTGCATTCTTAAATAAATATTATACAAAGAATATGATAAAATATATTTTGTGAAAATAGTATTTATAAATGAATAATATTTTATTTTTTATGATTTATAAATTAAAATGAATATAATACAAAGTATGATAAAATATACACATAATACATGTTGATTTCTCTAAAGAATTATAGAAATATATATTGGTTAGTAAGATTTTATAACATAATGCGGTTTTGTTTGGTTTGGTTCGGTTTGTAAAATACAAACCGCAAACCGAACCGAACCATGCGGTTCCACGAGAAAATGACCCAAACACATCCGAACCAAATGCGGTTTTTTGCGGTTTCAGTTTGGTTCGGTTCAGTTTTGCGGTTTTCTATTGGGCCGGTTTGGTTTTGAACACCCCTACATATGGTTACTACACCCAGTATCCAGATACAAAATATCCCCATCTTCAGAAAATGTATTACTTGCCAAAAATAAATTTTGTGGATTTTCAAAGTACTCACCGGTATTTTAATGCAAACTTTCTGCCATATTTTCCTGGTGTTTGTATCTACAATCAGCTGCTTTGTGCCCAAACTTTCTATAGTGATAACAACTATAATTCTTCCTTTCTTGATTGTAGTTGCCTCTTCCTCTGCCACAATATGTAGATCCAAAATTATGACCGCCTCTTTCTTGATGTGCTGGATTGAAACTGTTAAAGTTGTTGTCTCTCTATTGATTAAAGTTGCCACATCCTCTTCCTCCATAATTTACCCGGCCTCTTCCTCTATAATTTCATCTTCCTCTATTGTTGTAATTATTTTGAACTCTTTCTTCTACAGTACGGCTTGAATCAGAAGTGTTATTGAAATTTACCTGACTCTTTAGAGCTTCTTCTTTTATCACTTTCTCGGTCTTTTCTAATATTCTATTGACGTGAATTTCAATGCTTATTTGTAACTTTGCTACATACAAGGTGTTTGTGTCGTGTAACTCAATTATCGTAGTCACCACATGTTCAAACTTCATCGGCATCATACGTAGAATTTTTTCTACAACTTTTCTATATGGAATATCTTCTCCATATACTCTCATCTTGTTGACAAGATTTATAACACGAGAAAAATATTGTTCCACCTTTTTATAATTAGACATTTCGTACCTTTCATATTCTCTACACAATGATTGTAATTTGGACTTCTGAGCCTTCTCAACTCGTTTATGTGACAACTTTAATATGTCCCACGCTTCTTTAGTAGTCTTGGCATTTGCTATTTTGCCAAATACTGAGTAATCAATTCTTTGATGAATTTGGTGAAAGTTCCAACTGATCCTTTCTACGAGCAATTTCATCAGCTCCTTGTTGTAAACTGCGATTCACAAAGCCCCAAACATTGTGAGATTTTAGATGTGTTGTCATCAAAATTTCCCAGTAACTAAAATCTAACTCCGCAGTTAATTTTGGACTGGACCAAACAAAGTTGTAATTGTTTGCCACATCTCTCTAAAAATATACTCACAATAATTTTTGACACAATGAGAAATCTTTTGTTCCTCACACACTCAAAAATATTTTTGACACTCACACTAACAGGACCTAACATGCTCTGATACCAATTTGATATCAAATGATGTTGGAAATAATTTATATTTTAGAAATGTCTTGTTGACTAAGTCTGTTAGAGGATATTTTAGTATTTTATTATACCCTAATATTGTGTATAAATAGCCTAGTAGTAGGTAGGTCAATGTATTCATTACTCCTTATTTTGTAGCCGTCATTTAATATATTGCTTTTTCCTTTCATCTCTCTTTTGTGCACCAACAATTGGTATCTAGAGCTACAGTTCGAAATCCACGGGGAAACGCGGGAAACACGAGTGAATAGTGAGGTGTTGTGTGATTGAGAATCATATTTTTATGATCCTGTGGGATTTGGGAAGCACTGTGTGTTAGTGAGTTTTGAGTGAACTGCACAAGGTTGAAGATTAAGGAAACAATGATATCAGTTCTAAACTTCCAGTGTTTGATGGCAAAAACTAGAATCGTTGGAAGATCCATATGTGTGTATTGTTTGACTCTCAAGATGTGTTAGATATTATCACTGATATCTATGCTTCATTAGCAACATACGCGACAGAGGCATGGAAGGCAACGCAGAAGGAGATAAGGAAGAAAGATCATAAAGCATTGCTCTACATCCATCAGTGTATGGATGCAAATGTGTTTGAGAAGATTGTTGACTCTGAAACAACAAAGATTGCGTGGGACACACTGGTCAGATGTTACCGTGGTGACGCATAAGTGGAGAAGGTGAAGCTTCAGTCCCTAAGAAAGCAATATGAGAATCTCAATATGAAGGACAACGAGAAGGTTTCTGAGTACATCTCTAGAGTGATTCTGATCACTAATGAGATGAAAGCTTGTGGAGAAACCCTTTATGAGCAAGTAATCATAGAGAAGGTATTGAGATCTTTAACTTCTCAGTTTGATTACATTGTGATAACAATTGTACATTCTAAAGATCTAGACACCATGAGAATAGAAGAGCTGCAAAGCAGTCTAGAGGCGCAAAAGTTGCGTCTGACTGAAAGAACTTTTGAGAGGGAAGTTGAGCAGGCTCTGAATGATTCTTTTTTCAAGAAAGACCAGAAGCAAAAGAGACATGGTGGTAGTTCCCAGAAGTCAGAAGTCTTCTATTCTGATGAAAAGAAACATCAAAAGGGAAATGATAAGTATGACAAGAGAATGGTTCAGTGTTATTATTGTAATAGGTTTGACCACTTTGCTAAAGACTGTTGGTCAAATAAAGAAGAAGCAAAAATAGCCAGAGGAGATTCAGATGATGTACTTGTGCTATTAATGGCTTATGAATTTGATGAGAAACCTGTGATATTGTCATTTTCTGATTCTGAAGGGGAAGAAGATGACGCTGGATATTCTGAAGATGAGTCAAAATCTGAGGTTTCTGAAGATGACTCGGAGTTAGAAGATGACTCTGAAGCTGAAGACAGGTCAGAATCCGAAGGTGATTCTAAGTATGAAGAAGAATCAGAAGATGAGTCGAAATCTGAAAGAGATTCTTCTTCTGAAGATGAGTCAGAACATGAAAGTTTTGAAGGTGAGTCAGAGTCTGAGGATGAAGAATCTTCTGGAGACTCTAAAGATGAGTCAGATGGTGAATCTGATTCTGGTCCAGATTTTGAATCTGGTGATTGTCATGCTTCTAGAAGGAAAAACTCTGAAGACGTAGGTTCTGGAGGACAAGCTTTTGAAGATGACCATGTTTCTGATGCAAATCATGTCTCTGAAGGTGGACCTTCTGAAAGAGGAGCTTCTAAAGGTAATCCAGCCTTTGACGGTGATCATGATTCTAAAAGTGGAACTTCTGAAGGTGATTCAACTTTTGAAGATGGTATTTCTTAAGGTAGTGGTTCTGAATGAGGTTCAGAAGCTAAGAAAGGTAGAGCTTCTGGTGGTAGTCAAACTTCTGAAGAAAGTCCAGATAGAGATATTGTTCCAGAATCATAAGGAGATTCTGAACAAGTTCAGAGGCCACATAGAGTCGAAAATATATCAAGGAGATTTGCAAAGTTTGACAACCTGCAAGATACTGAAGGGACTCTGAGGTATGGAGTATTATTCCCTTCTAGTGTTAGATCAGATGCAGAGCTGATATGTTATCCATACTCTTATTGGCGTGGAGACAGAGTTGACAGAAGAAGTACTTTTGGGTACTTATTCAAATTTCTGGGAGGTTCTATTTCTTGGTGTTCAAAGAAGCAACTTGTTATTGCACTGTCAACTTGTGAAGCAGAATATATTGCAGACGCTCTGACTGCATGTCAAGCTGTATGGATTCTGAACTTCCTGCAGGATATGAAGATCGAGGTAAACGAGCCTCCGAAGTTGATGATTGATAATAAATCGGAAATCAATCTTGCCAAGAACCCAATGCTGCATAGGAGAAGCAAGCATATTGAGACCAAGTATCACTTTCTGAGGAATCAGGTTCGGAGTGGAATATTAGAAGTTGTGCAATGTAGCACCCAGAAGTCGCTGAAAGACGTTCTAAAAAGGCTATCAAGACTGATCAATTTCTTCGTTTGAGGGATTGAATTGATGTTGTCAGTTTTATGTAAATATAAATTAAGGAATGATGTTGGAAATAATTTATATTTTAGAAATGTCTTGTTGACTAAGTCTGTTAGAGAATATTTTAATATTTTATCATACTTTAATATTATATATAAATAATCTAATGATAGATAGATAGATAGATCAATATTCATTACTCCTTATTTTATAGTCGTCATTTAATATATTTCTTTTGTCTTTCTTCTCTTTTTTATACACTAAAAAATAAGACTTAATAAAATTCACACATACTAATTGAAAAGGAGAGAGAAAATAATTTTATGAAGTCACTAATTTACTCAAACTTCAAAATCTGATAATTCATTTCTTTCATGTATTTATATAGGTCTTGGAGTATCCATTCTTAGTGGTCAAGAGACTTAACAAAGAAGTATACTTAGACGGTGATATTGTCCACTAGATTTCTTGAGAGTTAAGCTTAATTCTACTTAGACACATCTAACTTCTACATTTTCTTATAGTTAATATTTTATTACTTGTTCTATTTTCACAATACTTCTAGACACCTCTTGATTTAATCTTATTTCTCTAATTTTCACTGTTACAAAATTTCTTAAATATGATGGAAAGTGTGGCATCGGAGGATAGCCGAACTTAACATCAATACCCATCATCACTGGTCTTTTCTTTGAATAATTCTCCAAGTCAACATTTGAAGGTTTTGCTTGTGGTAGCCAATCTTGCACTTATGAAGGAATAGCGAAAAATATTTGAATAAAATTGTGTGTCTCAATAGTATTACATAAATTATATTATATAGTGAGATTTATAATTTAGTGAATTAATTATATAAGAAATATGTTACAGTATATTCTATTTTATTCTATATAAGATAACAATTATATTATAAAATATTGTATATATAAATAGATTATTAACATTCTCTTTCAAACTGTATTATATATGTCATATGAATAGAATTTGTCACTCGAGAATTCCTAAGAGATTTAGTGAATATATCGGTTAATTGGTCTTTAAATTTGGCAAACTCTATGGTGATTTCTCTTGAAAGTACAATATTGTCCCTTACATAATGATAATATACTTTTATGTGTTTGGTCTGTTCATGGAAACCCGAATTAGATGCAATGTGGAGTGCAACTTGATTGTCGCATATAACTTTGGTGACTTCAAGATCTCTCAATCTAAACTCTGAGAGTAAATTTTCAAGTCATGCAAACTCCTTTGAGGCGGCTACCATAACATGATATTTAACTTTAGTACTAGATAATACAATTGTATTTTGTTTCTCTCTTCTCCATGAGATCATACTACCTCAAATAAGGACACAATATCCAGAAGTGGATCTCCTATTCGATGGTGATCTGACCCAAGTTGCATCTAAATAACTAATAATTTTAGCATCACCCTTATCTTCATATAATAATCCATTTTTTGATGCGTTCTTTATATATATCTAAGATTTTGAATAAATGCATCTCAATGACTATCACAAGGAGCGCTCAGAAACTGGCTCATAATCCTCATCGCAAATGTAATATCCTATCTGGTGATTGTAAGATATCTTCCTAGGTCTTTCAGTGGCTCCCTCTGACCCGAAAGAAGTTTGACATTGGAATCCATAGGAGTATCAATAGGACGACAATCAAACATATCTGTTTCATTGAAGATGTCTAATCCATACTTGCGTTGGTTGATTATAATGCATGATGAGGATTGACAACTTCAATGCCTAAGAAGTATCTGACTGGACCCAGGTCTTTTGTTTGAATTTTTTTGAAAAGATGAGTTTTGAATCGCTGGATACCATCTATATCATCTCTAGTGATAACAATGTTATCAACATAGAACACAAGAAAGATGCATCGATCGATGGAGGAATAAAAGAAGAAAACAAAGTGATATACTTCACATCTAGTCATGTCAAATTGTATCAAGGCAGAGCTGAATCGACCAAACCAAGCACGTGGGGACTGTTTTAAGCCATAAAGAGAACGACGAAGCTGACAAACAAGTCTAGAATTTCCAGGAATAGTAAAACATAGAGGTTGATCCATATAAACGTTCTCCTCCAATTCTCCATGTAAAAGGCATTTTAAATCCAACTAATAAGATACCCATGCGGGAGCACGAGTAAACTTATTTGATATTATATAAAATATATTTAAACACATGTAAATTTGAAATGAGTGACTTATTTATAAATGCACAATGATTATATAAATTCAATTGTATTAAATAATCATATAAAAAAAGACTCAGGTCCAAGTACTACACTTTCACCAGATTCATGCCAACATAACAGAGTTCTACATCTCCGGCCATACAATGCTTCAAAAGGTGCCATCCCAATACTAGAATGGTAACTGTTATTATATGTGAACTCTATCAACAAAAGATAAGTATCCCACGAACCTCCCTGCTCAAGAACACATGCCCTCAACAAGTCTTCCAACGATTGAATCGTCCATTCAGTCTGACCATC